AACCACGTTTGTCTTATAAAGATTTTGTTCGATATTTACTTAAACCTGGTGAATTAGAATATGGTCTACCTATAAGACGGATTACAGATAAAAATTGGTCTTCTCAGGTTTATCGGATTGAAAGTACTTTAATTCGTAAAGGTCAACTTGTTATGTATAAATTAGAAGGTGGACCAGAAAAAAAATTTGTTCGTAAGCAATTACAATTGATTAAGAAAGTTGAACTTCCTCCCACGTGGGTGCTTAAATAATAATTTACTCATCTATAAGTATATTCTCAATAGCTTCTTCAATTTCTGTTTCAGTCATAAGCCAATCCTTTTTGGATAGCTTATAATAAAGATTATATAAATCTTCTATACTGGTAAGTAGTTTCTTTTTACCTTGATACCATTTTCTATATCTTGACATTCTTTTATTATATGCATCATTATTTGGGAAAAGTGTTATTGCTGTATATTTTATATACTTATCTTGGTTATCTGCATTACGCAAATTTTTTATATATTTAGCATATTCACTAATAAGCTTACTATCTTTTCTATATCGAAAACGAAAGGCCTCTTTTATTATTTTGATTTGTGCTGATTCAATCATTTTCCATATAATATCTTGCATTGTTAACTCTGAGTCCTGCTCATTTATTAAACTTGAACTATTGTCTGTCATACTTGATTTATACTTACTTTGTATTTTGTTTTATATAATAATATAAGTTTTATTTAATATGAGTTTTATTATTTAATAAAAAATATCGTTTCTTGTTAACAGTTATCTTCTAAATGAGTTTTATAGCTTACTCATCTATTACCAAAAACTAGTCTTTGTCAAATATATCTTCTATAATTTGAGATGCAATATCATCCTCACTTCGTGGGTCAACTTCTATTTTATTAATTTCAATTTTCAGATATTTACTTACTAATTGATTTACTATTTTATCTGTTATTCATTCTCAACATATTCACTGTTTCATTTGATTGCAATTGCTTCGTTAACACATTTATCTCCTATAAACCAACGAT